CTACGGTAGCAGGGTTCTGTCCCCCGCGGAACAACGCTACTGCGTGACGCGTCGTGAATTGCTGGCGATTGTGTTTTTTATACAGCAATTCAGGCCGTATCTTTATGGCCGTCATTTTACGGTTCGCACGGACCATGCGGCTCTCCAATACGCTATGCGGGTGGCGCAGCCATCCGGCCAATTGTCCCGATGGTTGGAGGTCCTTCAGGACTACCAATTCACGACGATTTACCGCAAGGGGTTGCGCCACTCGAATGCGGATGCATTGTCGCGGTTGCCGCCGCGTACGGAATGCGCATGTCTGTTAGGATCGGCGCGGTGTAAACCCTCTTTCGCTGTCCCCGCGGAAGTTGTGCTCGCCGCCACGGATACTACGGGGGTCGACGCTCCCATGGGGAGGGACTCGCTGTTAGCGTTGCCTCTCATCGAGTGGGGCCGTCTGCAAATGTCCGACAGCTCCCTACTCACGCTACGTCGGAAGGTTGACGATCCCGAGGGAGGGGAAACGCGGGTCGGTTCCTGGGTGTGCAGACAGGGCCTTTTGATGAGGTGGGACAACATGTCCCGGCGTCACGTGCTCGTGGTGCCGTTTGCTATGCGGGGTAGGGTCGTCCTGGCTGCCCATGAACGACTCATGCACCTGGGGTTTCACAAAACGCTCGCCCTCATTCAGCGAGACTACTATTGGCCGGGGATGGGCAACGACGTGGCGAACATTCTTAAGGGATGTGTAGGGTGCGCCCAAAGAAAACCACCACCAATAGCGGCTAATCCACCGCTGCAATCCATTCAGGTTTCGCGCACGAACGAATTGGTCGCGCTGGACATCTTGGGGCCCTTTCCCGCTACGCCTCGGGGAAATAAGTTCCTGCTGGTTGGCGTAGAGTACTTCACTCGCTGGCCCATGGCATGGCCACTCGCCAACCAGTCGGCTGCGGCAGTGGCGGACGCCTTTGTCCAAGGTTATGTTTTGGACAAAGGCGCCCCCGAACGCTTGCTGACGGATCAAGGGAAACATTTTTCGAGTGTTTTGTTGCGCGAGGTGTGCGACCTGTTGGGTACAAAGAAAGTACGTACCTCCCCGTACCACCCGCAGACTGACGGTATGGTTGAACGTCTGAACAGGACGATTACGTCTATGCTGTGCCAACAGGTATGCGATGACCAGGTGGATTGGGACTTACAGGTACCGGGGGTACTAGCGGCCTATCGGATGGCACCTCATGCGGCGACGGGGTTTTCTCCATTTTTTCTGATGTATGGGCGGGAGGCCGATCCGGCCATGGACGTCCAACTGGGGATTTCCCAGCCACGTGCAAAATCTAAATTGGCAGACCATATCAAGTTTAACATCGCCAAATTGGCTGAAGCGCGAGAGGCTGCGAGATTGAATTCGCGGTCTCGGCAGATCGCGAACGAGCGATTGCATGGACGGAAGGTGCATACGCACAATTGGGAACCGGGCGATAAGGCCTGGCTGCATTGTCCACACGCACCGTTGGCTACGTCCCCCAAACTGTTGAGACCATGGAGGGGACCGGTGGAAATTGTGCGGGTTGCACGACCCCAGAGTATACAGATTAAATGGGGAAAACGCCGTTGGTACGTGCACCCCTCCCGACTGAAACCCTACGCGGCGCCGCGTGACCCCGGGTTGTGCCGTGACGACCGAGCGTGTGATGTGACCGTCGACTCGGGGAGGGATGTGTCGCAGGCTGATCCTCACGTGTCTCCACCTGACCCACCCCCAGGTGTCTCGGACCTGACGGCTGTTGACCGTCGGGAACCGGAACCCCGCGGCTCGCGCGGAGCCCCGATGCCTGGCCCATGCCTTCCTGAACTGCCGGCGCCACCGGATGGCCAACTGCGTCTGGTGCCGTACGACGGACCGGCAAGGCGGACTCGGGCTAGGACGCAACACTTTTCATGAAAAAAAAAAGATAATTTTCCTTTTTTGTTTAAAGCCCGACCTCGCTGCCGGGGTCCCCCTCTGCCGGGGTAATGTCCCGTTCAAGGGACGCTCGGACACATTGGGACGCTGCACAAGTCGGAGAGAAAAGAAGAGAAAATGAAAAATATTTTTTTTATTTTTTTTTATTGTTACTCTTTCCGCATACACATTATCGTTGCCACTCGCCGGATTGCGCATATTGTTCTTGTTGTGGGCGTGGCGGTTGCTGGGTTTTGCGGATTGCGGTGTTCATGTTGTGTTGTTAGGGTTTTGTTGTTATGTTACGGGGCACACATAGGGGTGAAGGGGTGTTGTATATTTTATTAGCAGCCGGGTCGGCTGCGAGCTATGTGGTAGGGGGTGATGTAGTGGTGGTATTGACGTGCGCCGACAGTGATGGATCACGGGGCGCGGGGTTGGGCACGCGATGTGGGCGTGGTATGGACGCGCGCGCCGGTGGTAAGGCGCGCTGACACAAGCTGGGAAAAGAGGATCGTAGCGAGTGCGCAGTGATTGGTCAGATAAGTGGGTGCTCTCAGCGACGTCCGCAGGAGGGGTATAAAGGGAGACGCGCGAGAGCACTCGTGGTCAGTGTTAACCAGTTGAAGACCGAAGACGGGGTGGAGGAGGTAGTGGCCCGAGACCCCTAGTCCCGCCGTCCTTGTGAGGACCGGGGCCCTGTGTGGCTCGGAGCCGAGACTGGGGGACCCGTAGTCCGACGCCCGTGTGGGTCGGGACGGTGGTACCCAGAGCCGAGACGGGCACCCCCGGCTGGGTGTGTCCCGGAAGGCTACGGGGCGTAAGAGCCCGTGTCAGTATAGCTGAGTGGGTGTTTGTCACCCGTGTAGCTGAGTGGGTGTTAGTCACCCGTGTAGCTGAGTGGGTGTGAGTCACCCGAGTAGCTAAGTGGGTGTCAGTCACCCGTGCAACGAAGTGGGTGTTAGTCACCCGTGTAGCTGAGTGGGTGTGAGTCACCCGAGTAGCTAAGTGGGTGTTAGTCACCCGTGTAACGAAGTGGGTGTGAGTCACCCGAGTAGCTAAGTGGGTGTTAGTCACCCGTGTGACGAAGTGGGTGTTAGTCATCCGTGTAACTACAAGTTGGTGAAAATAAAGAGTGTGCTACCCGTGAAGTCGTCTCCTGCCGAGTTACTACTTTACAGGTGCATTCAGAGTCATTTGGTTGAAGGAAAATTGTGTTAAAACCTATGGACACAAGAAGCATCATCACCACCATCGTCGTTGTTGTTTGCCGGTATACTCTGCCGCACGTACCGAATGCATTTGAAAGTCATGAAAAGGACAAATGACATACTTATGCTACATAATGAGCACGGAGGGGGGGGCATAGGTTCTTAAAAGTAAAGAAAATAATTGAAAAACATTGCCAGTTCAGAAACGCACGCTCAGAGGTGGCAAGATAACAAGGCGGGCAGCGCGGCTATGGGGGTGATTACCAGTCAACAGCGACGGCACGCGGGATTGGCGGACAACACTGCACGGCATCATTTTCTTCCTGCGATGAAACCGCATCATCCAGCAGGCAAGGCATCGTTATGCCCTAACCTTGTGTCTATGCAATGATCTCGGCTTCGGCCGCCACCTGGGGGGATTTATTGTTTCATTAGTAGATTGCTGTCCAGATGCATTACGAGCCCACGGCTTAAGCCCGTTCGGGAATAAAATTATGTAATGTGGCCTTATTGTCACAAAATGCGCAGAGTTGAACGGAAGATGAATAGAAGAGCTCCGAATGATTTAAAATGCGCTTGAGCACAATGGGTCGGTGAGTGAGTGAGCTCGCACGCCATTATCATTGCGCAGTGCAAAGTAAGAGACAAAGTAAGAACCTTTGCACTCTGGATTGACCAGAAAATTGTAAATGAGATTTGCTTAAAACATCCTCCTCCACGTGGAATCACATGAGCCCAATTACCCAACCGAGAATAGCAAATCCAAGATATAAAAATAACTGTAACAAAATATGACGGTCATTTGATGTGATTTATTTTTTTCCCCTGCTACAGCTACTGCTGACACAAGACGAAAGGTGTTGGAATGCTTCATTAGAACCCTCAATATCTTTCGCAAAAATTTTAGATTTTGTGAACATTTCAGCCTCACAATTGAAAGTGCACTAGATTCTGCCCGTAAAATATCCATCCATCAAAAACCAAAATCCTGCATCCACTTACATTCCTTATCATATCTGTATGTAATAATTGTACACATTTCATAATTAAGCCACTCTTCCACCCCATAGGTATGTCTACCGCCTGCAGCACAAACCCTAAGTCCAAGTTGTCCCCTGATAGCTGCAACATTCATGTCACAGTGGCCACGCATGAGTATGTATGTTGAACTTCTTTCGCACCGCACATAGCCAACCGTGCTACATGTGGCTATTTCACATTCCCCATGAGAGGGATCAATCTCTCAAAAAGAGGACACCACTATTAACTTCCCGCAAAATGGTACTGCGTTGTGCATCTCCAAAGGGGCTGATAGGATGATTTTACACGTAGGCTTTGACGACCAATATTATGATTCATAATTGGTTTATTTTTAGGTTCGATTGTGTGTAGGTGTGGTGTCAATCACAGTGATAACCCTCCACCACCCGACAAAGCCAAACAAATCAAGTTGTTACCTGGGCAAATGTGCCAATAACTCAAGATCTGAGCTTTTGCAAACACCTGATGATGCTGGTTGCAATGTCGAGCGAAACTTCGTACAAAATAGAACACATTTTTACTCGCTTTTTAACATTACCGGTTTGCTAAAAAGCTAAATCAATCGGCACATCCACCCACGAGACAACTTGATTGGCTTGGCTGTGCCGGCCGCATGATTCACAATTGGATGAGTTAGCCCCCCAAACAATATCATAAACTCGTGCCACCTTCGGATTCCGAGTCAAGAGCTTGAACTTCAGGCACCACCCGTGGCTCATAAACAAAACATATGATTTGTACGACGCAATATTACACTTTTTTTTTACATATAAAAAAGTGTCCAATCACAACTTCGTGTCCGAGAAGGCCGCACGTACCCTGTGCGGGTTAGCGATGCCGAGCGCTTGTGGACACTGCCCGCGCCGCCCTTGCCCGGGTCCCACTCGGGCACCAGCACGGCCACCTGCGGGTCCTGCACGAAGGTCCAGCCGTTGTGGACCCCGATGTGCAGCCTTCGCTCCTGCACGGTGACCGTGTGTCCGTCCGGCATGCGGTCGTCCTGCCACGCGCACCGGCCGTCAAGTCACGCACCGAAGCGTTATGAACGTGGATGGCAAAGCATGACGTGAACCCCTTCCCGTCCCGAGATGTCTTTACGTTGCAGGGTGGGGGTTCCGTTCACCGCTGAATCTCGGAACGCGCAAGCGGTTCGCGGTAATTTTATTTAGAGAGGCGTAGCGCTGCTGTTTTCAAAGACATTGAACTTTACTCACCGCAGAGAACTGTAGCGACACGACCGCACTCCACGATAGCCGGCGTCAAACTGTGCCACACGCCCTTAACGTATATGGCCTTTTACTTTTTTTTTCTACTTCTGATTTGGAATCGATTCGATTCCGTTCGGGATTGACTCCGGAAGAAAAGCTAATGATGCATACGCACGTCATCGGAACAGGAAGGCGTGAATAACATTAACATAAATGACAACATTTGGTATTAGCAGCATTCTTAAAGGACACAGCTATCATGGAAGATATCCCTTCGCTTGCGCGTGTGATTTGGTGAACCTCATGCCAGTCGTTATAATTCCGTGTTACCTGCCATTGTTACTTGAGCGGCGCGTGATTTGAATTGTGTTCTCCTTGAATGTGTTTGCCACTCAGTGTTCTGCACCGTTTTGATTGTTTTTATGCTGTAACTTCCCGGTGTTCACCAAGCTCCTTCACGGGGTCATTTTTGGAAATCAGCTTAAGGCTGAAGGTTTCTTCCCCGCGTAAAATGCAATCAATTGAACAATCCAAGGCACTATTATGATTACAATTGTTGACACAGGCAAAGCCTCACCGACTCTTATTCAGGATGGTGGTCGCCAAGAACTCGTTGAGATGTCACTCGTCACTGATGTTAACCGTGGCTGAGCATCTAACTCAGACAGCCAGATGCATAGCACAATGCGCTAACCACTGCACCACGGCTCCCTACGTCATTGTTGGGTAGTGTGGCTATACAATGATCACCTACACAGGTGCCCATGGAGGATAGCAAAGCTGAACTTCCACCTTTGTCACCCCGGGCTTAAAATGTGTGAACAATAATAGGAATCTGACTGTTGAACTGCTTGGAGATAAATTAAATCAACGATTTTAAATGGCAAGGCTGTATTTACCGGTACACGTGGCTTAATTAACATAAATCATTCTGTACAATTAAGTTAAATAATAACTATCCTTCATTAAGTCACTTTAAAGTAACACGATCATGTGCTTGCACTGCTTGAGTGAGTTGCTGTTGACAATGGACTTGTGAGAAGCGTATGTTGGCATTTCTGCGCACATCAAAGCTAGTTAAAGTTTTCATACAATAAAACAACCCCAAACACTACCGCAATGTAAATTCGTTTTTTTTAAAGATAGCGTCGGGTTTATGGCAATCGATCAGTTTGTTGTATGTACAATTTGAACGATGAATTGGTGATGTCTGGGCAATAGGTGCACGGCCCAGGCCATAGTGATCAATGGTCCTTATCCGATTCACACGTCCCTTTCTACTCTCGACAAAAAAAAGGCCACAATTAACGGAGCTCTTACATTCAACAAACTCTGTGCGCAGGCAACGAACACGCATCGTGTCAAACTCAATTGGTTCAGTTCCAGTTTATTCTGCGGTACCCTGTGAACTAAGGAGCTCTTAAGTGGGCTTTCATCAAGTAAAAAACACACCGTTTCCATGACAGACATAACACATCAGAGAAAAATGATTGAATATATTTATGAATACTCAAAAAAGGCAAGAAATCATATCATTTCAAATAGAAAATGTTTATATTTTAAAAGCTTTCGCCGATTAGGGAATAAAAAAAGTGCAATATTAGAACAGTAAATGGGAAAGAAAATGGCTATAACTTGACGGGTGGTTTCTAAAAAATGTTTTTGTATGAAACGTGGACATCTTTTCAAATACTCTTAGTTCTTTTGGTAAAGTCACGTAGGTAAAAAATGAAATTAATAATAATAAAACAATAAAAATCACGACGTTTCGGAGGCAACACAAGTCTCCGTCATCAGGTGGGACCGTCACAGCCAGATTTCATCACTTGATGCAGCAAATCTGGCTGTGTTGCCTCCGAAACGTCGTGATTTTTATTGTTTTATTTTTATTAATTTAATTTTTTACCTACGTGACTTTACCGAAAGATCTAAAAGTATGAATCCTTGCAGTCACGAAAGCTTCAAATCTTTTAAAGTAATTAATAGTAACAATTTACGTATATTGTCAATCCATTGCCGGAGGAAGGCCTCCCCACTCCGTGTCCATAATGGGGGGGGGGGGGATTTCATTAATATAGTTCACCGCAATGGCCACTGAGGGTTGCTGAAGTAAAGCCAGAACCAGAATATACAGTGGCACCTCGGTATACGTCATTAATTCGTTCCAGAAGGCAGAACTTATACCGAAAATGACGTCTACCAAACGAATTTTTCCCATAAGAAATAAAGGGAAAGGAAATAATACATTCCAGAGTATGAGAAATTTTATTTTGTTTGGCATAATATACATTAATTGGGTTGTATAAAATAATTTAGACACTACTTATTACTAAAATGCATACATAATTAAAATAGGTGCATAAATAAATTAAAATAAATTGAAATAAAAATATTATTTAACATCACTTTACCTTCTTCTTGGTTCTTTCGGTAAAGTCATGTAGAATGGAAATAATAAAATAATACAAATAAAACATAATAAAATAATTCTCACGACGTTTCGGCCACAACGCAAGCAGCCGTTCTACGTGACTTTACCGAAAGAACCAAAAAGATGAATCCCTGCAGTCACGAAAGCTTTAAATCGAAATTCTCTTTACCTTGCTGAGAGGAGTTGATAGCCTACGAGGATGGTGGTGAGGAAGGGGAGGAGTCGTGAATGGGGCATACGTGGGTACGCGGTGACTCATCCCGACCCATACAAGTTCTAGCAAGCGCGTCGTATCCCAAGCAAGACGTCGTATCCCAAGACATTTTTTTCTCTTCAAAACACGACGTATACCAAATTCGACGTATTACAAAGCGGTCGTATACCGAGGTACCACTGTATATTGCTCGTGACCGATGTCAGCCGTGGGTGGAAATCGAACTAATGTCACCGGGGTTCATAAAAGCACCTCCGATTAACACGGTTGGCTACGTATGGTGCGAAAGAAGTTCAATATTATATGTACATACAGCCATGGCTGGGAATCAAACTCATGTGGCTGGGTTCATGATAGTACGGTGCGTAATCCCGCAAAGCCACCGCTCCACCTGGCCACTTTTGAACCCTGAATGAAATCATACACTTTAACACGTAGGCTTTCGCGACCTCTATTTAAGACCAAAACAGGAGGATTTCTCCACAAGTCTAGCTGTCGCCTGATGATGCTAATTGTTGTAATTACTGGCGAAACTTCACGGTTCTCGAATTGTAAATGCTGCGGGTTTACTCTCCAACACACCGGTGTGCTGAACTAGTAACCAATTGGCACATTTTGTTCACGTGACAATCCTTAAAAATTGTCTGTATCGGGTGGTGGCGGGTTTAACGACATGTTTATATTCATGCGATCTAACTCGAAAGGCCTCTATTATGGAAATCACACAAATATGAATGTCTGTCTTACTCAAACAAGTGAGACAGTCAGTGCTCACCCCCCTTTTGCCAATTCTGAAACGCTGGTGCAAATTCCACATTCCTGTTGGTGAAAACGAGTTTATAGGAAAGATGACAAACGTTCAAAACCCAAATTGAGCCCCGCCGAGGGAAGATGTGCCGAGTTGATCCCAGACTTCGCAATTTGCGATTTGTGGCCACGCCTGCCACAATGTCACGGAGCAAAAATAAAGAATGTACCTATTAAAAAATAATGATGACCCAAAGAGTGACCTCATAACCGATGACCTGATTTTATCCCAGCATGTTACCAATGGAATGTTGAACTTACATTTCTCTATTTGTACAGCATGCCATTGTTAGGTAATTTTAAACGTATATATTATAACCAGGGTGCATGCATTGAATATTTATATATAAAGACCTAAATCTGTATGTATGTCTCTGAAACCTCTAGGGTACTTCCCGAAAAGGTATAAAGCTTAAATTTGGTACATATGTAGCTTTCAGGACAAACAACAGGGAAAAATATACAAATCTGAGATTTGTCATTTTAAGGCCACCAAATGTCGATTTTAAGTGCCCTATAAAAATGTTTGTGCGTGTCATTCAGAAACAGTTCAAAATATAAGATTGCAGGGTTTTTTCATTTGATAGAGCGTTAAACGGAAAATAAAATTCAAGCGAGAACCATTGGTTGTATCTTTTATTGTTGTTGAGATATTTTGAATGAAAGTGGGTTTGAACTAAAATATTGGCATTTTATATTTCGAAAACGGTAAAAGATAGGAGCTTCCCCTCAGAGTATTAAGTAAAACATTTTTGTGTTCTTTCTCATAAAAAAATTACGAAATCTTTAAATTGAACGGTTTCCGAAGAAGTTGAATCAAGTCATCAACAATTTTTGTAGAAAATTAGTTCGTGTATAATCGTAGATAAACAAAAATCATATCAGGTTAATCATCATATTTACTGAAAACTTTTGCATGGCGAAGACAGGCTTTATGAACTAGACTTTCTTTACAAAGTACATCAAAATCAAGATGTTATCGTGGGCAAAATTGTTGATACCACAAGACCCTGGCATTACTTCTTTCTGCCAGAAACCACAGGTGTCACACCGTTAATTCATGACCACCTACATCTGCCGTTATAGTATCCCACCATCTGGCTTTAGGTCTTCCTCCTTTGATTGCAGGACCCATATTGCGTTCAAATCACGAGTTCTCCTTTATTTTTCCCCATCTCATAAACATACAGTGTAATGTGTTAATCCCCGTTCACTCCTGAGATCCTATCTTCCCAGCAGTGAATCTTTTGGCTCATCACCACGGACACATTTTGCCCAAGACATTTCTACTGCGGTCGAATTCAGACCATCAACGAGCTGTTCTGAGAACCCAGTTAATGTACAGGTGACCGATTTGATTGTAAAAGCAGTGCATGTCAGTGTAACCGCCCAACTAATCCTGCCTGCATGTAAACTGCACACAGAACACATCACTCTCCCGCTATGATTCCGTTGACTTTCACGGATTCAGGGTCGCCTTTCGATTCGAGAATATGTTCTCTGTGTCTTGTTTGAACCGTCTTATTTGTCCATTCAGTATCTGTTTTGTCGGCCCATTTTGTTTATTATGATTTTCTCGATTCCCATTTCTGACACATGGTAATTTCAAACAATAAACATACTGCTCAACATCCACAGGTCGTGTGTCCCCTTGTAATTGTCCTGTTGTTGTTTGTTTACTTCGCCTAAAGTTAACATTTACGTACAATTAAGTTAATTACTTCTTACACGCACGATTCAACGCATGCATTGTGAGTATCAGTTTCCTTGGATGAATCAATGGACTGGTACCTCGCCTATGATAAACAGTTGGCTGGATGAATTCAGCTTCCTGCTTCAATAGGTTCCTGATGAACTTCAATCAACATACACAATTTCGCAAACGTCAATCAGTGGATACCGTATATTTATTTAAAGCGTTGTTTCATCTTGTAAGCAGACGAAGAACGTTATGATCGAGGCGGTGATGCCATTTCAATAAGATATTCAAAAATTATTATGTCTTTGCTGTAAATATCAAGCTTCATTGATGTATATACATGAAAGGATTTGTATATTTTCCAAAAGGTTAGCATGCTTGTTGAAACACACCGGGGTGTAGAAGTATTTGGAAGAAGAAAGTTTTTTTTTCTGTTGAACAATTTCGACCGCACGATCAAACTGCGCGCGATTGCTTAAATAAATAACAGCATGTGTAAAAAGTTTTTAAAATATATATATTTGTCATGGAGAGAAAAGAAAAAAAGGCACACGGAGAAGAGATATTAATGGACTCCTGCTCGCTTCCCTTGCCAGATTTGCGCGACAGCTGGCGTCATTGGTCTGGCCGTTCTTTCGATTTTGGCCTTTAGATTTAATGAGCGGGGAGCGTGCGTGCGCGTACGTGCGTGCGTGCGTGTGCGCGTTCCCCCCCCGACACACGGAAGTGTGGGCTCAAAATCGCACTCCTTTAGCACACGTGCGGCCGAGTCTCGCAAGGAGGGCCCCGTGATCCATCAAAGCTGACGCATATATTTCAAAAATAAAAAAAACCGTTGGAAATATACACGCACACACACATTTATATGATATCGTTGTCCTATTCATCCATCCAGCCTGTCCTGTAACTGTGTGCACAAGGTCACCAGAAGCAACGCTGCGCGTTATGCATTTTTCAACAAAGGCGGGGTGTCGTTGTTGACGGATATAATATAATCTCGTGACGTTGTATGGTCGATGGACACACGTAAATACGTCTATTTTATAATCGTGAGGGGCTGGGGGCTTGAGGTTCACCGCATGGTATGGTGGTCAGGAAAAGTATTTTGTTTTCAACGAAACAATGTTCGGCCCAGCTCTGAGGGCTCGCGCGTAAGAATGATTCCTGCACCTCCGAATAGCCCGGTTGGCTACGTACGGTGCGAAAGAATTTCAACGTACATGCACGTGATTCGCGAGCAGAATCCACATTGTTGTAAGAGCCCGAATAAAGCAACGACGTGTGTTGGGGAAAGAGAGGCCTATTGACATTGGACGTGCACGTCGACGGCTCTTTTGCCAAATCCACTGCTGGATTGAGGCTTCCTGATGCTGCGCCGATCGTGGGGGGGGGGGTCATTATTTAACCTTACTTCACCACACTGGTCAGTGCGGATTGAAGGTGGGGAGTATAGATGCTGGAGCATAGAAGTACAGTACGATTGATTTTGTTGTGCTATTCTCTGCTGCTCAAACTATAGATATGCTATGGTGGCGAGATGTGAACTACCTTGCCTGGTATACAAGAGACTGTGGGTTCGATCCTGACCCTGACGCCTATATATTTGGTGTTTCAATGTTCTCTCCCTGTGGTCATGCAGAATGTCCTCCTGGTCCTCCTGTTTTTCCCTCGACATTTAGAAACAAGCGTTTAGAGTATGTTGCTGCTATAAACTTCCACGTGACTAGCCACTTCGTTGGGCTATCATTTGTGGCCAGGTTGCTTCTGAAAAAGAGCTATATAGCTCAGTGGGCCTTACCTGGTAAAATAAAAGTAGCTTAGTTTAGTTTATACAGGGTGTATGCTGGCGAGTGCCCATTCTTACCGTGTTGAGTCGGTCTTGATTGAGAAGGCTCAGCAAGGTTTCTTCAAATCGCTCCAGCGACGGAGGCAGAGTCACCGTGATGTGGTCAAGAAAGCAGGGACTGGACTTCAAAAGTCTTGGCTTCAACAGGGCATCACCTGAAGGAATTTAATGCAACGACTGTTACAGCACTTCTAAAGGCCACGCAAGACGCGGCGGAAATATTATGGCAATTGCTGCCAACAATCGTCGCTGGCAATAGTTGCCGCGATATTTTTTTTGTATAATAAAACACGTGGTTGCCGAAATCTGGAAAAATGTGATCGCCCCTTCACTCCTGTGTGAAACCGGGAAAGCAACTTCCAATGAGGTCACATGCATTCCCAAGGTTGTGTGCTCTGTAGACCAATCATCGTTCATTCAAACATATTTTTCAACTCTGTGACACTGCCATCCAAGTTGGCAAAGTTATTCATGGTGAATGCCCTGCCAATGAATGTTGGCAGCAAAAATTTCCCCCAATACCGCCCTGGTGTACATGGCCGTCATAGGATAATCAATTCTTCTTTTGCACGGGCAGGGCAAATAACAAATGTATATATTGATGTCGCACGGATTTAAGCAATGCTCGGGTGGGACAGACAATATTGTAAAAAGGGACGGATGGACCCATGGTCGAGCGCCTTGATGGAATGGCAATGAGAGAATAGAACGGGCATCCGAAGAGGACGTCCGCCGAAAATTTTGGAACGGGAGTTTCGGCTCGTTGTGCCGGCGTTCGGTGGATCTTTGCATCACGGGGATCGTGGTGGATGGCAGCGGCTCGGGGAAGTTCTCATCCAGCAGTCCATCAACCACGGCCGATTAATAATGCATTTTTAAACAAAGTTAATATCAAAAGCAAGCGGGACGCATTATAACAACAAAAATGTTATTCAGACCTTCTGAAAGTGAGCGTTCAGAAGGCACGGGTGGGCTCGTCTCTGTCTGTCTGTGTGGTATGATTTTCCTCTTTCTAAACGAAGGAACGTGTGACTTTTGAAACAACATGTCCAGGAGTGGGGGTTGGCGAAAGCCGGTTCGAAAAATACATTTTCGTGCAATCAACGGAGATTGCACACAAATAATATTGAACAAAATTGGTGCGGTGTTTGAACTTGATTTAGGAAACACCCCCCCCGCCCGCCCTCCGTCCGCTCCCCCCACCCCCCCAATCTGATGTTACAGAAAAACAGAGATGTCAAACCACAGAACAAAACGCTTACCAGCACAGGAATATTGCACAGAATAAGTGAAAACATCATCAGTAATCACGGGGTGAGAATACCTTCTGAGGATAAATACAGTCAGATCTATATTTACCTTCTAAGTAATTGAACAAGACATTAGGGGGATGTTCATTGCTGAGTGATTTAAGATTGTGATGCTTGGGAACTTTGTTGTGATCTCAGAAATGGGTTCATTCCACATGTTCTCTTTTGTATTAATCTATGTTCAATTGGCTCACGTTATCCTCTGCCACTTAACATGCTACACTTATTCGAGAAGCAGCATTTGGCAATATCTTTGTTTTTGTGGTGCAGGGTTTCGATTGACACATAGTTCATTATTAATATTATGCATTGCTTAACCAGAAATGCTTCATCGAGTCTCGGGACTCTTTTTCAGGAGGGTCCTGTTAAGTTTCCACAGTAGGCGGCGATGATTTCCTACTTATCAATTCAATTTCATTAAATTAGCAAATTTAGACCCGTGACGCCGGCACACAAACGGCCTACTCTTGCGAATGACACCACGGGATCTTTAAAGTCCAAGGTGAAGCAGACGGTGCGTAGTTATGTTTTGGTTACGCCCGCGGTATTAGCCAGGGCAGCCACTGAATCCGAACCGTGAACCTCCACAACAAGCAGCGAACACGCGACCGCTGGGCCGTGTCGCCGCCCAAAGATAGCAAACAAATTTCTGAAGGAAAAAAAAACACAACGCAGATATCTTAATATATTCATGACACAGCAAAGACAACTTTTCATGTGTGAAGGAGCTGTTTTTTTACGTGCGTTGGCATGTATCCATTTATCTCCGTAGCGTTTCCGTGATGAATGCAGAGCAGATTAGGGTGTACTGGCACTTGATCTGGCTCTTGTGCTATCTCAGTCCCTCTATGTAAGCCCTCACCCCTCTTGTGTTATAATTATAATTTTAAATGTTCTATCTTTACAGGTGACGAATTAAAGGGGTATCAAACTAGATTCGAAGTCACGTAGAAAGAAATTTAATTAAATAATAGGTGGTATCATCATGACATTTTGTTCAATATAGCGTCGTCATTCGTGCAAATTGCACCTCAAAATCGCTGAGGGACCAAAGACTGGAAAGGCAGCCAGTTGGTGAGCCGGCACCAATAACAGTCCGAGCTCTGCAGCCCTCTATATACAAAGATGTTTTCAGCCAATTAATGAGAGCCCCCTCGCACGCGCGGAGAAAAGCCACGCTGTGGGATGGGACAACACTTCATCTTCATGTGAGCTGGAAACAGATGGAGATTAGTCCACACCCGCAACACTGCCTCTTCTGAGCAAACCAGGGTATGGCACATCGACGCACACGAGGAGGGAGTCTTGCAGCAACATTTGTGCGAGCCACCAACCCTCACCTAGACAGTGTTCTATTACAGGCCACGTACCACCGCCCAGCACCTGCAACCTGCATTATTGACATGCAAAAACACACTCTTAGTTCTTTCGGTAAAGTCACGTAGGTAAAAAATGAAATTTAAAATTAATAAAAAAATAAAATAACAAATTTTAAATTGTATTTTTTACCTACGTGACTTTACCGAAAGAACTAAGAGTGTGAATCCTTGCAGTCACGAAAGCTTTAAATCTAGAATGCAAAAACATATGGGTGAAATGCCCGTAAGGATGTGAAATTATCTCTAACAGTGTTTAGGAATACTTAATTACACTAAGATATAATTAGTCATTTCACAGTATCCACATATTCGGATTTGAGTGTCCGTTGTGGGTAGAATGGATGGGCGTAAAGTTTGAGTCTCAATGCCCATTGTAAAAATGAAATCCTACAAAAGTACGAAATAATCCTCTTTCACGTAATGCGCTGGCGCTTTCGAGTACATTTAGGTCCCATTATGCTATTGCCATTTTAGAAGCCGAACATTTTAAAGCCACAGCACTCGGTAATCTAGAGACGATTTCATGGCTACCCACTGGTGTGATATGTAAGCGGTGCCCCACACTCAAATAAATTTGGCGATCTCCCAGCAAAACTTCTCCGTCAGGCAATGTGTAGCATGTGGCTAGAACTCCACAAGATGTCTGGAGGTGTATCTCTAACTTTAATGCGCTACAATGGAATAATTTCCAACATGTTTCGTACACGCAAATGGTTAATTCTTTTCTCGAATGCAATAACATGTTCCGGGCCATCTTGCGAGCGACCGAGTGTGGTAAATTTTTATCCTTTTAATTAACAAGCTGTCAGCTTAACCAGTGCTGGGGTCCGTTGGGTAAGGGTATCTGAACAGAGGTGCAGTCACCACAATTGGGCCGTGCGCAATTGTACTAAATCGGAGAACCGTGATCTCCCGGGGCTACCAATGTTACTTCGAGCAACACCCTCATCCTCGTTCCCCACTTTATTTTGTAGGCGACCATACTCCGGGGATTATGCAGAATAGTGGGAAAGCATGAGGGTCACAGGACGTGAAATCTGGGCCGGTACGCTTTCGCATTACGTCCCGGCGCAAATGAGATTACAGCGACTGGCTGCTGCTCATCCGATGGAATATCTGCAGATGTAGAAAACATTTGCCTGGGATAAGCCGGCTTTTGCTTAGACTATCGGCTACCGCAGCATTAACAGCTGCGGGCCATTCGTCTCTGACGTGTTCCCTACTTCGGATGCCACTCTGTCATTAGTCTCCATCAACTGGCCATCATCCCTTCTCGCGACATGTCCTGCAAAGCCCACTCACTTTTCGCGATGGTGACTGTCACACCGTTGACTTGCGAATGTCCTCTAATCGACATCTATTCCTCCCTCCTATCTCAGTGTAACTCCCGGAATGCACCTCCTTACACGCTTTTACGGGGAAAAAAATTCAGCTCTTTGTTCCAAAGGACACAATTATCATGATTAGCAAAATGAAAAGTCACTCAAGCATCATGAAACTATTTCATTTCATAAGCAAACTACATGACAGTGTGTACTTCAGACATCAATGGTTGACAATCGGTAAAAGCATCCTTATAGCCTGTGCTCGAGTCGCCCATTTGTAGAACGGGTGGCGCTACGGATACTTAAAAAGATAGCAGTGTCTCTTAGTGACATTGACACCAGCAAAATCACAGGGACAATTATTCAGCATCAGTGGGTGAGAGACAGTGCTAGTGCCCAAGCCCCCACCCTTCAGCCTGCCCTTGCAGCCCCTAATCCTTTATTACATTATTACTATTAAGAAACGTAATGTCATCAGGATAAATTGCTAAGGGGGTCTGATCTTGAGAGCGTGACACCACACAAAGCTTCTGCTCGTTTCAGGACAATTTGTGGCATTCGGGCCGAGCGTTCGGATCAGGCAAAGGAAACCACACGGCTCTCTCTCTCTCGCCTCTTAGGAGTTATTTACAGATCCCCTTAGTTTGGTTATCTTGAGTTGTAAATGTCGCCATTGATTACTAAATAAACGAGTCCGAAAGTCTGAGACTTATGCATTCCCATTGAATCTTTAAGATTCATAAATATGGCTCAGTTAGGCTTAGGGCATTGTATGGTAAAAGAGCTGCCGAAACAAAGTGTTTCTCTTTTTCAAATTATTCTGCAATAATGAACAATATTATTATATCAGTGTACTAACACAGTGCCACGCATGCTCTTCAGCACTCGCCGTTGTGTTTTGATCAGGATCGTGATCTCGATGTGGCCTATGGAACTTGTAAATGCACAACCGAGCGCTCTGCTCCTCCGAGGATGTAAGCGTATCACTTCTGCACACATACAACCATTCTGCCAATCCACTGCTGGATGAGGGCCTTGCGGTTCACGGCGGTTTATTTGGCAAAGCTTTACCATGCTGGTCAGTGCGAGTCGGTGAAGGTGGAGAGCATAGCTGTGGAAGCAGAAAATAGTACAACAGTGCATTTTGCAACACTGCCCTTTGCCGACCGCCACTTAGCCACGTATTACAACCTGGCATGGACAACCAGCCCATTCCCTCCCTGCCATCTCCGGTAACTGCCACCACTGCGGACGGTCTTGGGCCGTAGTTGTCCTTGTAAGAGTTTCTTGGCTTAAATGGAGCTTTACCGGCTGAAATAATACAGCTTGAGTCTTCATGCATTATGGTCAGCAAACCCGATCCAGGCTCGAACCTGCTTAGCTTCCGATATCTCAATGCGGGACGATTCAAGCATATTACTAGAGATGACGAATATGCCTTTCTGGACATTGTTCATAAAAAGGCAACAGATTTTTTTGGTTTCTAGACACAACGTGTTTAACGACACCAACACTGGTACAATGTGCCTGAAGAGCACTGCAGACCGCCAATCGAAAAAGAAAAAAAAGGACTGCACTCCCTGGATGATTAATCTTGATGCATTCAACGGAGGTAACGTGTTCGAGCAGGGAATTAATGAGTCGCACCGTGTCTTGGCTCATAACTGTGAAGAATCCAAATGTTAAGGATCTTGTAAGTGTTATATCTTCTTTCGGAGAAGAGTTGTGTGTGGGGGGGTGGGGGTTATAACAAGGACAACAACTGCACGGCCGGAAAATAGATAACAACAACACAGGTGGCCTTACCAACGGCGGCACGGGGCTATAAAGATTAGCAAGAACACACTGGGGGGGTCACGTGCTCTGCTTTAATGGGCCGTAACGGTAAATTTATACGGCACTTTGCGGCATTCAGACACATCCACTTGATCGACTGTAATGATCCCGTCGCACAACAACGTGGATCGTCCTTTGCATGTGCTGCAATAAGCAGTCTGATTTATCCCTCTGCGAACGTTATTTACCACGATGCATCATTTTTAGCGCCAAGCAGCATCAACGAACGGAAGAAAACAAAGTTTGTTCCGTCCGCTGTGTTCCACCGTGAGTAACCGGCCGGAGTTTTGCACGTTCCGTTACGCTTTTGTTGTTGCGCTTTGCAACGAAACCACGGGGATGGATTTTTTTTTGAGATTCCATTAAGGGGGGGGGAGGGGGGGGGAAGTGTTGTTTCCGAGGCAGCTCCTAAGTAGTGGAATATCTTGCCGTGGTTATTTAAGCACATCTGCAAGCGCCATCGTTTTTTAAAATAAAATCAGAAGCTTACCTTGTTTCAGACTGCTTGCTCCGATTGGTGTTTCATAACACACCAAGTTTTGCAATTTGCTCGCTTCACGAAGGATGCTTGGTCCGTTTCACATTTAGTTTCTGAATTTTGTTTTCCCCTGCCAAGTCAGCACTTAAGGATTTATTTCATCTATACAAATTAGCTGTAGAAGAATTAAATGTTTTTTTCTTTCTTTCTTTCAAATACACGCAGAGTGCAAGCATGACGGGGCTTCACGAAAGTCAAGAGAGAATGAATTAAACATCATCAGCAAAAGTAGCAGCCGCAGCGGCCATTATCGCCGTCAAAGTAAAACACAACGGCGAGGAGGCATAACGAAGCGGGCCCATTCGGACAACGTCGGATTGTCGTCGTGGCAAACGACAAGTGCGTAACTAAGCCGCCCGCGTGTGTCATGTACGTGCGAACGCAGATTGTGCGCCTTTCGCACGAACTTACCGGAGTTAGCCGGAGCCGATGCCAGGCCGGGGACTATCGCGGAGCCGGGGAGAGGGCAGTTTTCGGGCAGCAGATGCTGTGCCTTTGCGAGCGGCTCGTGCGGCTGCAGCGTGTAGACCAAGTGGGCACCGGCGATGGGCAGCACCAGCTTGTTGGCTACAAACAAGTGCAGTTTGGCAGACGGAGTTTCAAGTCAAATCCCAATGCTGCGAATTGAACAAGCCACTGTCTGGCGGCACCTGCCAGCAATCAACCACTGCAAGGATAGGATTACATGAATTTATTTTGTTACTGGATTCATGGCACACGGGCGAAGAAGCGTCTTTCTGGAATTCTCAAAGCAAACAAAAACCTCGTATAGTATCGTGGCTGACATTTACCCAGACGATCACTCCACACAACAACTTAACACTCCGGAAAAGAAGCGGTGTGCCACTAATGATTTCTCTCAAAAGCAGGCGAGGTGAAAAGAAAGTTTTAAAAAATTTACACGGCTCCTGTTGTATGTGTTGTGATTATGAAATTTTGATGAAAATAATAAAAATTAATAATTTTCCGAAAAATGCGCAAATCGCATTAATTATGATAGTGTGTGTATTAATATGCATAAATTATGATAATGCGTGTGATTATATGCATAAATTATGATAATCGTAGTAATTTATGCGGAGGCTTGCGATTATGTTAATGTGTGCAGTTATGATAATTTGCTTTCGTTTATCCAGAGTTATCAATCAGGATAACACGATTATCATAGATTCATTTACCGATTATCCTAGTGTGTGTTATAATATTTTAGGTCTCCATTTTCATATCTCATCACAGGATACAGTTGTCAAGAATAAGACAGTTTTGCATGGACTTGGAAGGAACACTCGATATGCTTCTGTGATAACAATTTTATTCTAACAAGCACGTGACATTCTATCATGCAGGTCAAACATGCGTCAATAATTCATGGGCAAGATTATGCAATTAACTAATATGAACGACAAAAACTTATGCAGTTGCGAAATTATGCAATTATGCAATATGAATAACGAAAACTCTTATGCATTTATGTAACTCGACGGCAGCAACTGCTTTGCACGATCAGTTGATATTGAACGCACCACCTCGAAATGGCAACCCTTTTTGAAACGAAAAGACAGTTTTCTTTTAAAGTCTTATTCGTGTGCGTGCTGTGTGTGCGTTGTCCCCTCGTAATATTAATTGTGTCGTTAGCTTGTGTGGTGTGGGAGGATACGAACAGCTCCTGCTGCTCCCTCGCTCGGCGTGTCGCTCGGCTTTGCTCTCCCTCTCTCTCTCCACTGCTGGATTGAGCGGCGTTGGCACGATGTTCCTTGAAGAAACTTGCTTGCTTGGCGCTTGATGGTTCCGGGGGCTTGGTGCTGCTCGTGCGCTCTCTCTTTCTACTGCTAGATGACGAGTTGGCACGATGCTGTCCTTGAAGATGCTCGGTCGCTCGTGTCGCTCGGTGTCGCTCGGTGGCGCAAGGTGTCGCTCGTTGTCGCTCGATGGCGCGCGGTGGCGCACGGAGGCGCAAGGTGGCGCACGGTGGCGCAAGGTGGCGCACGGTCAGCGCTCGTTCAGCGATCTCCGCCTTTCCTGCGGGTTGTTCGCTGGTCGTCACTCTGACGAGGAGCGATGCTTCGTTCGTGGCAGGGTGGACGTTGGCGTCTTTGTTGGCTTCACTCGCAGCTCTGCGACTCAGGGTAGCGATTCCTCTCAGGTGGTGCAGACCTCGGCTTGTAGCTACGCGTCGCTACTCCGCAAACCTCGTCATTCTGAATGACAGGAGCTTCTTCGTTGGCGGCGACGAGGAGAGATGGTTGTCGCCCTGGAGAACTCTGGTGGGGCCTTAGCCCGGAGACGAGATGAGATGTAGGCCGGAGCTCGTGAAGATCTGTGGTGGAGCCGAAGATGGGCTCGTAGCCCGGATGATATCTTGTGTTGGAGCCGAAGCCCGGACGATATGTGATGGGGGCCAGAGCCCCTGTCGATCTGCGTTGGAGCCAAAGCCCGGATGATATGCTTTGTATGGATTTTCCTTCGGTTTATATCGGAAACTTCCACTCGGCTTCCCGAGTTGTTCAAAGGCTGTGTCATAAAACCTTCCTGTGGGCTGAACCATCTGCGTCCGTGTGTGTGTCCGTCCGTGTGTTTCGCGTGCGTGTTTGTCCGTGTTGTGGGGAGACAAAGGCGGTTGTTTCCACGGTGGGAGCACCCGGCGCATGCGCTTATTTATTCGAAGACGTGTTTATTTCCTTTGAGCCATTGCCCCTTTTATGGGTGTCATTTCCTAGCTTGGTGCCTGTGTGTGGAGATCCTCTCGGAAAGACAAAGGCGGCCGTGTTGCTCGCTTCCCATGGGTGTTGTGTTTGGTTAATTTTGAGAGCCTTCTCCGCCCTTGATTCCTCTTCTACTTTAATTCCGTACTTATTATTTGACTTCTTGTGATTATTTAATCTGATATCCCGGCTTATCTTTGTTCAGAATATAATTATCTCTTCCTCCGTGTCTCCTGGTTCTGCAACCCCCCGCCTGCAATTCCCCCCCTCCCTTGTTCCTCTTGTGTGAATTTAGGGGAGTTTTTTTTTTTATTACCTTATTGCCCCCCCTGTCATGTCCTCTTTCCTTTGAAATGAGGTATGCGCGCATCTGTGGAAGTGTGGGGGCCTCTGTGGAAGTGTGGGGGCGTGTTCGTTCCCACGTGGCCCCGTGTCTATTAAAAAAACAATATTATATATGATGGCAGAATAAGCCTTAAAAAAAAATAATATTAAAAAAAAAATAAAAAGGGGGTACATACACAACAGTCCGCCCGTTTGAAAATTATCAGGGGTCGATTTGGCCACTGGCGAATTTTCAAACAAAGTAATGCCCCCTTTTTATGTCATGAATCCCATCAGCCGCCCTTACTCTCGGCGGTTATTTCTTACGACGCGCGTGCACGTATTGCCATCTTAACCTGGTTACATCTGAAATAAGCAAAGAAAATAAACAACACGTTAACATCGATATTGCGTTACATCGGTTCTCATACATCATAACTCTGACGAACATTCATTTTTGTTTTGTTAAATCCTGGGAAACGCTAGGTAGCGGTTTCGAACGCATTTATGCGTTACCTTCCTCATGTTGCCTGGTTTACCACTTATCACTTTGATAATTTGATCACGGTTTTCGGGTTCGTTTTTGTAGTTTCCTCTCTCACTCTCTCGCGTCGTGGGAGTGTGTGGTGAAAAATTGTGCTGCACGTAACCAGAATTTGCGCACACGACCCATTTTGACACTTGGTTCGTGGCATTCGCTCTCTCTGCGATTACATGCACATTTGCCGAGTCAGTGTGTCGACTTAATTCCGTGCCTCGTAATGTTGCCCTCTTTGTTTTTACGAGTGTGTTAGATTCCAACACCATTCCTGATATGTCATGAACATTCGTCTCCATTTTAGCACTCCGATCCACATACATTTTGGTTTCCCTTGGATATTTTCCATTCAAAGGCTCACGCCTGCGCTCCTCAGGGCGTGTCTCTGTGTTCTCTCTTTGTCTCTGCTGTCTGCTATCCACCGTCCGATCACACTTCAATTCAGCCCTGTCACTTGCAGCCTGCTCAGGGTTTAACACCTCGGCGGGTGGGGCGCGTGTTGGCCGCTCGCTCGCACTCACTGTGGATGGTTCATCACGTATTTGGACCGCATTCTGTGTTATTCCTCTATTCCCTCTTGGTATAGCCGGTGGAGGAATTGGTCGGAATTGGATCGATTGTGTTTGACCTCCCATCCTGCGATTCTCCTGAATGTTCGCATCCATACCTCCGCGGTCTGTGTAACACCTTCCCGCTAGGTGGTTATCTTGCCATCTCTGTGCGTAATTTGAACCTTGCGTGTGTCGTGGGATGGGGTGTTGATATGGTTCTGCTCTGAACCTCTCCCTCCTGCGATTCTCGTACATTTTTGGCCAAGTATTTCTCCCATTTGGGTGCCACATTTTTCCTGGATTGTTACCTCGCCATCTTTGTGGGTAATTTTGATCTTGTGTGTGTCGTGGCATGGGGTGTTGATATGGTTCTGTTCTGAACCTCTCCCTCCTGCGATTCTCCTGAATGTTCGGCTTTGTGCCGCTCTCATTCTCGTGCCAACCTCTCTCTGGGTTATTTTGCCATGTGTGCGTGCGTTTCTGCTCCGTCCTGCATGGTGGGACTGCTCGGTGATTTTTATTCCTCTCTGAGAGGCTGGGTTCCTCATCCCTCTCCCTGTGTTCTGGATCCGAATTATGATTCTTAGCTCTGTATAACCATGCCATGTACGCCTTGCTCTCTATGCGGCGTAAGGATGCGGTTTCTGGATTCAAAACCATTCTCACCCTTTCTGTAATCTCTGGGCTCAAGGATTCAAAAAACATAATTTTGAACATTTTATCTCCTTCGTGGTATTGATTCACATCGCCTGCGTAATACGCTCTTTTAAATTGGACGAGGTAGTCACGTGGATCTTGGTCCATGCCCTGGGTCATCGATTTTACAGCATAAAACCCCTCAGTGAGTGTCGAATATTCTCCAAACTTCCGAATCACTGCCAGGCTCAGTTGTTTAAAATCATTTCTAACCTTGTGTGGTAGTGACTTTACCCATGGAATAGATTCTTTATGTAAGGTCCGTTTCAACAAACTCGCTTTTTCATCCCGTCTCCTCAGCCCTCTAATCATTGCCTCCTCTTCTACGGTTGCGATATGTGTGTGGATATCCATAGTCTTATTGTGGGGGTCAAAATCGGGAATTCTGACTAGAGCCTTGTCCATCAATTTAAGGGTTTTACTGGTGAATAGGTATTCCGAAAGTTGATTGCCGACAGCGTCATCATCAAACAAGTTATCATCAGGCAATCTGTCACTTTGGTCTGTGCTGTGTCGCTTGTGTTTAAGTGGTGTGCATTTTCTGTGTGCGCGCCCAGTGCCGTGTCGCTCGTGTTGCCATTTCCCTTCAGTTTTTGCCTCTGCCCTTAGTGTACCATGTCCTGGCGATTTTACTTTAACATTTTTCCTCCCTCTATCTGTGAAGTTGTCAGTCTCACATGTTTTTGTTTGCATATGTATCTCTCCATTCCTTCTCTCGAATTGTGAGGGTTTCCCTTTGTCAATGATTTTTTGTTC